TTTGCTTCCCTGTTAAAAACAACCAGRTCATTCTGGATTCTCCAGAACAGGAGTATCCTGGGGTCTCAGGGAAATTCTGATGTCCTGGTTGCTCATATTTTTCTGAGGAATCACTATCAGCAATGGCCRAAGTTAAACTCCCCGTTTTCACTGCCAGTCCAGTCTTTTTCTATCTTCTTCTACCACTCTTGTCAAAATCACCATCTACTCTGTCCTTATTGCTTTTCTGACTATGTTTCCTTAATTTATACTGTATGATCACWATCCTGCCACTCACTTTTCTGTAAACTCTTCCTTCAAGCCCATCCCTGCTCCAGCTTTCCACATCCTCCATGTTCACCAGCTCATAGCATGGACTATTTTCTCCTTACCTAGTGCTAATTGGATGGCTCTTGCAAACACAGGCTAAACAAATAGATATATACATTTATATTATGTTCAAATAATCTGAAGTCATGCAGAAAAAAAAAAAACCAAAACCAAAAAACCAGTAGAACTTTTTTTTCTTCATTTAATCGCAATGCTTCTAGCGTCTGAAAAGTTAAAGAAGATCTGCAGTAAGCTCTGTATAAAGATGAGCCTATACAGAGATATTTACCAGTTCAAGAAATTTATAGTAAAAGTACAGAAGAAGGAAAATGTGCACTGCAGTGCTGGGCAAGTGAGAAATGGGAGAAATGCAGGCACTTATCAAGGTCATGCAGGAAGTTTGTGGCAGAGCATGGTATAGACTGCACAATACCCAGGCACCAGCCCAGGCCTTTGCCAAGCAACTATCCAGCTTTTTAAAATATTCATGGAAGAAAGAYAGGCTTGTGCAACGCTCCACAAATAAGACAGAACAAATGACGAGTCATTACCCTGTAGTAGGGCAGACTGCAGAAAWTGAATTGAGGGGTTATTATCTGCTGGTAGAAGGTTGTAGATATTGCCAAATGCTAATTTAATTTTTTTTCTGGTTTACAGTGCTTGAGAAAAGTGAGAAGTCTTATTCTCAGCCTTAAGCACTGCAGCAAATTCTGTCCAGTGGAGTTAAGCTGGCCGTGTTAGCAATCCAGAATTTACATGTCACTGTTTTATCAGATTTCCAGAGACATATAATGTCTCTTTCTGTTGCCAGCAAAACCAGATGCAGAASTATCCTTGTGTGTTTATTTAGCACAGGATTGTTAATGGCTGGGAGTAGCACAACTCGGGTGTGGCTTCCATGTCTTGCACAGAGAAATCAGTGCTAAGAGACCAGAATTTAAACAGAAGTGCAACCGAGTGACCTTGGCGCCAGCAGAGTGGGAAAAACATTATGAAAATCTGGACTTAGCAGCCAGGTCAAGGCTGATTTTTACCCCTTGAAATTCAAAGGTACTTGATACAAAGCATTAATATAAGTAAATTCTTTGCTTTCCGTTTCCTTAAGGAAACAAACTTTTCAGGCTGCAGGCAGTCCTTTTCATCTCAACTTGAAGGGAAGAAAGAAAATGCTGGGTTGGTCTTTTCAGTGAAGAACTTTCTGCATAACTTCATCAAGGCAAAACAAGATGGCATTATAGATTAAAGTAAAGACTTCTGTTGGGCAGGAGGTTAAACAAGCCTTCAATAGCAGCTCCTGCTGCATGTGCTAATTCTGATTTTCTCACTGTTTGGAGTAACAGTCTTTTCCTCTGGTTCTATTTGGCTCAGCTTCAGTCTGGGCATCCCTGGTTGAAATCAAGTCTGGCACCTGCAGAATTAACTTTAGGGAAAAAGGGAGAGCTGATMCAAGATGCCTTTGGTGGGAAAAGTATGGTTTCAGTGGAGTTATCTCCTCTCCCACCCTCACATTAMGAAAAGGCAATGCACCCTGAGTTATCCTTCAGCACACGCCCAGGAGCACAGAGGACCAAAACATCTGCAGCAGAAGGGGGGCTGTTATCCCACTCACAGCACTTTGCATTTTGCTCTGCTCTGATGTTAGGAAGGAACCCATGTGCCCAGCAGAGTCCTTGGCTGGGAGAAATGGTGTGGTTGTTCCTAACACARCTGCACAACAGCTCCAGCCTTGCTGAGGACTCAGACTGGGGTTAAAGYTGAGAGCTGAAAAAGTTCTGGAGAAGGGTTAAGGTGGGAGAGCAGCTGGCCCACCAAGGGCAGTTCTGCAGGGAAAAAAGTCCTAAATCAAAAAACTTTTGCACAGAAAATGCCTGTGTCCAACCAAGGCAGCATCCTAACCAGTGTTAAGGTCACTTTTAAAGCAATAAAACTCCTCACTCTGCCTCTGAAGAAGCAGCAGCAGTCTCTGATAAGTGAGAAGGGAGGACAAGAGCATTTTACATTCTCATGGTTCCTTGGCTCACTCCAGCAGTGTTTGATTAACTGGGAGCAAGATTTATGTGCTATAAAGTGCTCTGGGGAGGTTGCTGATGCCAAAGCTCTGCACCTGGGTTTTGAAAGCCTCTCTAAAGTGATGAGAATATCTGTATATTCTCATCTAGGAAAAGAAAGCCCCCCTGAAAACCAAAAGTAACTGCTGCTTTTTGGCAGAACAGCAGAGTGCAATTTCACCTAGGAGGGAGATCTGCAAAGATACCACAACTGCTTAATGGCCTGGTCCCACAGAAATTGGACGTGAGTGAACATTTCATGGCCATTTACCCCTGGGGAGAGGTGTCCCCTTACCCCTGATTAGTTTGGATGCTTCCACACAAGGAAGATTAAAGAAATACCCCATTAAATTATTTCAGGATTGTTATTGTTTTTTAATCTTAAATTATTCTACCCGGTATAATCTCATGGAAACTTGCTTCAAAAGACAAAGGAGCTCAGTGTCTCTTAATGGTTAGTGGAGTCACATTCTTGTGTGACATCTGCCTCTAACTTGATTGCTGGGAATGAGCACACCAGCAGGACGAGCAGCACAACAGGGATGTTATCAGCCTCTCAACAGACTTGGAAATTGATTTTCATCAACTATTGTTTAAAACTATTGTGCTGAGCGCTGAAATTGGCCCGTTTTGCAAGTAATTATGCTGTGCTGATGATGTTTTCAACCCCTTTTAGAAGCCATCAACTGTCTGCAATATCTGGGTGTTGTGCAGGCTTTGTCTGGAAATGGCATCCAACCTTCAGCAGGCTCTGACCGAGTGGGAGCTGTTCAAGGGGATGTGTTAACACTAATTTCAATCAAGCAAGGTTTCCTCCAGAAATGTGCTGCTGCTTATCACCAGTGGATGCCACATGTGGTCAGAGCTCTGATTTGATTTGTGTTTCAGGGTTGAGTGTGAACTGGGGCTAACTTTACAGCCTGCAGGAGCTGTGGTGGCTTCAGRCTGCCCATGAACAGGATGGGAGAAGAGAGGAGGTGTCTGCACTTGAACAAAGGTGGAGAAACAGCAGAAGCAAAACAGACTTGAGGAAGGGAAGCTGAGGCAAAGTGGATGCTCAGAGACCAAGATTTTGACAAATCTTGGAGGTCAGTGGCCTTGGGCAGAGAGAGAAGGGGGTAATGATACTTTAAATGAAAAAGATGATACTTTAAATGAGGAATTTCTTTGTTCTCATGCCTCCACACCAATGTTCAGTGTGCAGCCTTAGAGGTCCGTGCCTGGGTGGCCTTGGGGCACAGCTGCCTGCTCACAAGGAGAACAGGGCTCTCAGTCTCATCCTCCTGCACTCCAGGACTGAGGGTGGCATCCACAGAGGTGGTGGTTGAGTGGAAAATACTGACAGAGGAAGAGGGTTTGGGGTGTAAGAGTTGAAGGTCTTTGAGGTGGGGAAAGATTGCTTTTTCAAAATCATTTGGGCTCTCACTTCTGGTGCACTCTGAAGAATCTGCAGTGTTAGAGGCAGTCCCTCCCTCATTACAAGAAAACCTGAAKAGCAGCTAGCAGGACTTTTATCTTCTTGCCTTTTTGTGGCAAGGTGCTGCCATTACTTGCTGCTGATCCCTCAGACAGACAGGCAGCAGTGCCCTCTGTACCTCCCACCTCTGTGCTCSTGCCAAGCCCTTCAACCACACAAGGTACAAGAACAAAATTTGCATTTAGTCTTTGAAGCAAAAACAATATCTCCAGGGCTTCACGTGGATTAGGTCATTAGATCTCTCCTGCAGGACAGGAGCTCCCTGAAGGAATGCAAGGAAATAAGCACTGTTTTGTCTTTGATAGAAGTCAAGAGCCATGGATTTAAATCCCATTTGATCTTTCCAGYTATGAAACCTGGTTCAAATCTACAGAGGACTCGAAGGAAAGAGAAGCTACGGTTTTGTGCACAGTTTGAAGACACCCTCAGTTCAAACCAAGTGGTATTTGACTCTACGAATGGCTGCTCTGCAGGCACCTGAACTGCTGCCTTGTTCTGGGTGTCCAGGCTCCATGGGACTCGATGTTCATGGGAACAATAAGTGCATAAATTCTCCAAATGTCAGGCACTTCCTGGCACTTGCATGCATTGGATGCCTTGTACTCCCTGCTCGGTGCACAGAGCTCCCTCCAGGACGATGCTGATGCTGTTGGAAATGCCTGCAGCCATCTCCAGCCTCTTATCTGAAGGCCTTGTGGTCACCTCACCTGTTATCTGAAAGCTTTTCCTGGAATGCTGGAGGAGAAAGGCAAACCAGGTTTTCCTTCATTGGCTCCAGACCTTTTCAAATTCTCCTGGTAGGAGCAGAGCTAATTTGGCAGCAGGATCATAAGTGCTGTAGACCCCTAGGAAAAAATCACAGTCTTGCTAGCACGGGAATCTGCTTTGTTTTCTTTCCAAAGGTGTGCAGAGCACAGAGCTTGTTCAGCAGCTCTGGAGGCATCAGCTCTCCTCTTTCTGAGACTGAAGAAAGGCTAATTTTCTAAATCTCTCATGGTGCTGTAGGTGTATCTCAAGACCAGTTTTACAGCTAAGGGGCCCATCTCATTTTGAACTGCAAAATGGGTAACTGTACACRCAGAAGGACTTTTCCAGATTAATAATATGATAAATTGGAGTGATCCAATCCAACACTGCCCCACAACCACGARGTGTGAGGAGTTAAATCAGCTTTAAGAGATTGGTTTATAAAGGAAATATTTCAGATGATGAGTTGATGAAGCCCATAATGCAGTCTGGGCCTGTGACAATCCTGTTAACATGSCAGCTATAAAATTGCACCCACATCCATACACACATTTATGCATATGAATGTATATTAATCTCCTAATTGGCCTGTAAATGAGATGTTGGTGCTGTCTAAAAATGAGACAGCGCATACTGAGGAGTACAAGGATTTTATCTGTGGGCTTATTTGTAAAATGCTGACACTTCAATTCARTTCTTAATTTTTGCAATCTGGATGCCTGGGTGGGGACAGATTATGGTGGTGCTGCTCATGGAGCTCCAGCAGCACAGATCAGCAGAGGACCCAACCCACGCAGAGCAGTTCCTCTTGTTTCCTTGTGAAAACTGGTGTGATTCCTCTCACTGATGAAGTGGCAAACCCGTCTTCCACGATTCCAGCTGGCATGGTGTAAGTCTGTACAGTGTTCTCCACTGATTGTAATTTATGAAACTTTAACGAGAGGGTGTTTAACTGGTGCTAGAGAGCTCGATTTCTTGAGCCTCAGACTGAATCCCCATGYATGCAGAGAAGTCCAGCTATGAATAATTCCTGTGCTGTTTTATRAACTATTCTAAGTAGCAAATATCATCTGTTAACCTTATTTGCAATTGGTACATGCAGCTAAGGGAAACAAATGAACTGCTGCTGAATTAATTCGCAGCCCATCCAGAAACTTTTTTGCACTTTGTCTGGAAAGTCTCCAGGCAGCAGAGCAGCTGGCATGCAAAAAGTGGGTGGCTTCCTAGGAAAGGGGGTTGGCTGGTTTTTAAAATACAATTAGTTTACAAAAATATCCACCTTTGGCCAGATTTAATTCTGCCAACCTTCCTAGAGTAGTCAATTTTGAAGAGAGTGTGTTAGTTCAGACTGGCCTTTGTCATTAATGGGACAAACTATAAACCAGTGAGAAGACACAGCCCMTTTCCCTCAATAATCCCCTTAAGGTGAGAAAACCTCCTGGTGGTGTCCAYCTCTCTGCCACAGATGGGACTAAAGCCTCTAAATGAAGCTCTGAAGTTTTTAATGATCCCTGGGAGAGCAGGAAGACAGCGTGATTGTTTTGGGGTGGTGTCTGAAGGTGAAGGAGCTCTCAGTGTGTGCCTCTCTCATGGGTTGGCAGGCAGATCTCCACTGGGCTGCAGGCAGTTCCTATCTAGGGGAGAGCTTTATAAATAATCTTYTCCCTTTTCCTGGAACATGCCCAATCTCTTATGTCAATTGCCCCACCAYGTTTGCAGTGAGAGAAAACAAAAAGAATTTTCTAAAACGCTGCTTCTCAATAAAAAAAAAAAATATTCCAGAAATGCAGCTACAAAAATTCTCCTTCAACATTTCTGTGCAAGTTTTTTTTTTGCTGTTGCATGTCTAGGGCGTGCTGCAGGATGTGCAGGATATGGCCTGGAGCCCTTCTGCTTCCATGGCCCTGAGCTCACGCTTGTTCCAGTGGTAACAACAACACTGCTAATAAGGATAATGRCTGCAGAGCTGGAAGAGTATATCTGATGTTTTCACAGGTGATGTAACTTTTCTTGATATGGAGATGCCTCTCAAACCCCTTTAGCTATACTTTTTATTGCACTCCATTTTCTTTTATCTTCTTTTTTTTCTCTTTAAATACACTTCTGATTCTGGTATAAAACAGCTGACGCTCACATGGACAGACAAGTTTCCACAAGCAATTAAATTTCAAGTGCAGACACTGTTGTCCTATAAATGACATTTCTTTTGAGGAAGGGAGGAAACACAGTTGGAAAGAAGCTTTTMAACTTTAAAAACAGCAACAATAAAATTGGAAGAAATTTCCTTGAAGAGAAAATAATTAAGAGCCTAATCACTGCATTAAGTGCATATAAAGCCTGAATTCATCAGTAATAACMATTAAATGAAATGTCTTGAAAACCTAGGGAGGCTAAAGAGACCCWCAGCTGTGTGGGGATGAAGGTGGCACACTTGCCATGCCCGGGCCTCTCCCAGTGCCAAAGGACACAGCTGTGTTGCTATTGAGGCAGTCTGGGGAAGTTTGAAGCCAAAGGGCGATCTCTGTGGCTGGAGCAKCTCCACTAACTTAATCTCAAAACGCTACTCCAAACTTTCTCATGTGTGTGGATGGTGGGAGTTTGGTCCTTTTTCCCTGGAGTCAACCCCCAGGCATTCCTTTTCCATCCCTGCAGGAGCGCGTCCCGCACTGCTGTAACATTGTCTTCTGCCTCTACGGATGTGAGGGGGAAAATTGCCCCTTGTGATTAATGCCTGAATTTTTTATGGATGCACACAAGACATCGCTTTCAGTGACCACAGGAATTCAAAGCTTAGTCAATCTGTTAGATCTAAAATGTTTTCACTGGGATATTTTGCATTCAAAAACAAAGAAAGTAAAATCCTTTTTCTTTCATCTGTAGAAAGAAATACGCTCCTGAAGAGCCTGCTGGGGGGTGTAACACAGAGCAGGATCCCTCCCCATTCCATCCCAGGGGCAATGCTAAAGTCACTGCTCTGGGGTTTCTCCATGTTATCCTGGGATGAAGGCAATCCAATTTGCAGTTGCAGCCTGCCAAGATGTCCACCAGGAAGGCTGCCCTTGGGTACGCACCTCTGAGCCTCCTTGGGGATGTACCATGGAGCTTTCCAAGGTCCCAGGGGATGGCACCCTCTGCTTGGCTGCATTATTAGTGCTTGCAGGAAGCGCTCGAGACAGCGTGGGCAGGCACGGCCACTGTGAATGAATTTGGAAAGGTGCCCTGGCACGCTGGGCTGGGCACACTGCAGGGCTGGGGTTCACTGGGAAACCCACGGGAAGTGCTACAAAATTACAGCAGGATGGACCCAAGCAGCCCCACACTCAGCCCCCACCTTGCCTTGGAGGGGGACATCCTACAGCTTCACTGGCGTTGTGCCCACCTACCAAAGCCTGGCTTAGTCAGGGCAGGGCAGTGAGCACAACCTGAGCAGAGGAAGCCCATGTCCCTCCCTTGCTGGGGGACCCTGTGGCCCTTCCTTGGCCATCACGCCACCCATCAGCAGCATGGGACTGAGCATTGCTTGGATTTCACCCAGAGCAGCCAAATCTGTGCCCTGAGGGAGCCCATTCCTCCTTCCCCATGTGCTGCAGCCAGTTGAGCAAGCCCACAGGAATCAGGCACCGCGATTTCGGCAGAGCTGCCGGGCACACGCCCGTGCCCCACCAGCACCGAGGTGTGCAGGGCCCCTCCCCATCACCCAGMAGCCATGGAGAGCCTATTCCTGCCRGAGCCAAGAGCAAATACCAGAGGCATGAATCCTGCCCCAACAGCTCCTGGTTTGCAGAGCTAAATTAAAATGGTAAAGCTGCGGCAAGGCCGGGCAGGCTCGCTGGCACAGGGCTGGCGGCAGCGGCTGCGCTGCATTCTCCACACCGAGGTGATCACGGCGGGGAAGGGCTGCTCGTGTCCACTCCTTTGCTGCTCACGCTGCTCTTGCTGTCCTGGAAAGGAGCTCATGACCCARGATAAAGAAGGATTCACCTGGTGCTCAGGTCCCACCCTTGCCCAGAGCCTGGTTGAGTGGGTTTAGCCCCATTTCTGTACAGACATTCAAACACACCCATTTCCAAGAATCTCTGTGGTCTGCACCAAGGGACACCACTGACATTTTTCTCTTCACCTTGCCTTTATCTTCAACCTTTAATTGTTGTTATGAAGGCAAAGTGTTTGAGGGATTTGCCTTTTGTTTGAGGGATTTGCCTTTTTCCAACCCCCAACACTGCACTGACTGGAGGGATTCAGCTCATCCTCCCTTGGTTTAGGAAAGCTTCAAGATTCACTTCTTCCCTTCAACCTCACCCAGCTTCTATTCCTGCAGATGTCCTGCCCTTACACACCGTGTCTCGGTCCACCAGGAGAGACCCCTTCCCTTTCCTTCCCTTCCCTTGGCTTCCTSAGCCAGAGGCAGTTCCTGTGAAGTTTGATGACTCTCCTACAGCCCAGCTTAAACTCACAGGTTGCTGCATACACAAATACTTGTGTCCACCCAAAATTCCCTCAAAGTAGCCCCAAGGATAAGAAAYCTTTCACAGATCTGGTTTGTGCCTCATCACCAGTGCTCCTCTTCTATCATTTCCACAAGAGCTCCCTTCCCCTCTTGCTGTCCACACCCCTTTCTGGGTTTAAGTAATCAGGAATAAAAGCCATGGGAATCATGTTCATGTGGCTGGAATATCTCTGTGATCCCTCTGCGATTTCTCTCTTTGCTGCCTGTCTGTAGGAATAAATGCTGTTAAAATGCGGTTTTCAAAGGGCCTCAATTCTTATTCAATTTGTATTGGGATCCTTTGGTGTTCTTAGAAATTTTCTGCATTTCCAGCAGCCAGCAAGATGGCACAGAATCCACAAAAGCCTAAGATGTGCACAATTATGTTTCCTGGAGCTGGCTGTAACAGTGCCCTGAGATATTATCTCTGCTCTTCCTCCTCAGGGGCATAGCTGAGCTGCTTCAAGGACAAATATTCCAATTATAGACAAAGCAGGGAGCTCTCAGAGGCAGGTGTTAACATTCAGCTAACAGCTCCATCTTTCCCAGTGCCTCTTTTGWGGTTTCCAGGTGGCAGATGGAATCCTCTCTTCTCCCCTCCGCTTCCCTTTCTGTCCACTGTTCTCGCTGTTCTCTGAGTTCCTCTYGGCATCACTGTCACCTCCTGGTAAAATGGGAAACATCTGAATGACACCTCTGYGATAGGAGGGCAGGGATGGAGACATGGCAGGTGTGTGGAGCACCCCAAGTTCATGGGAGACCATGAGCGGTCATCCCAAAAGCCACCACCAGTTGAACTAAGAGTAGGGTTGCAGAGCTGATGGCTGAGGAGAGCAGCCAGGGGACTTTCTCTTCATTCCTTCTCAGCTGTTGGAGGACATCCCTGCATCATCCTTCTCTGCTCTGCCACAGAGGAGGTGGAATACCATGGATATATCACTTATATCCACTGGACAGCAATAGGATCTGTATCAAACGCTCTTGCAATGAATGTCCCACCCTTTCCTGTCCTACTCCTAAATTATCATTTCTCAGTGGAAGAAGAGAAAAACATTAAAATGGTGACAAGGACCACCAACCTTTTTTCATGGATCAGGGAACCCTGAGGATTAGTTCTTCTGTAATAACTACTCTGTAAATGGGCACCAGGCGAAAGCCCCTATCATTCATCAGCAATACTCTCTTCTGCCATCTTGTTCAGTCAACTTTTTCCATTACCAGGGATASCAGTGTCAGGACTGAATTTACTGAATTTACAAAATACCCAAAAAGGATGGGACATGAGGAGAAACAAGTCCCAGTTTAAATGCTGCRAACTCAGGCAAATCACTTATCTGCCCCACCGTTTCTGCTTCTACACTTTGTCTGTCTTGTTTGTCCAAAATACAGGTGCTTTGGGACAGGCAGCATCTCCCAAAATTTGTTTGCAACAATTCCCCTGGGAGGGCAAAGAGGAACATAAGAAGTGCTTAGTGTACATAAAATTATTTAGTAAATAATAGGCAGTTGTGAGTCACTGCCCTGTAACTCCATGTCTGGTTCTTGGTGGTAAGTATTTTTGTACACAACTAAGAATTATAAGGACCTACACCCCATCTTCAAAAGGAGGAACCTAAGGGTCTTGACTCACATGGAGTTAAAAATGCAGTGGCTGAGGCAGGCAGATGTCCTGCCTCCCTGGCTGGGGAACATGAAGAGGACAGCTGGGAGCAGTCCCTGACTTCAGCTGTCCCACTCTGTAGTGACAGCCACAACTCCCTGAGCTCTCATTACCTCAATCTTTTTACTCCTTTCTGAAAACAGTTTCATTTCTTGACACTTAAATATTTACTGGCCATTTGGCATTAAAATATCTGTTTATTTTGTGGTGTTTGTTTTGCCTTGATTACTTTTTCTGGCCTCTGAGCAGTAATTTATCTTCTTTGTGGTATTGTTTCATGATACAAAAAAGTTTGCTGAGGAACAACAAATCATGGTTCCTCATCTATGAACTATGAATCAGCTCTGTTCTGCAGAGCACTTGAGAAGCACCCAGATGAAGGTGTGGGGACAGCTTCATCTKTGGTCACTTGTGAATGATGTGTTCCACTACCCCTTCCTTTCTTCACCTGTTGTTCCACTTCATTCAGGCTTTGTGACTGCTCAGTGAAAAATCTTGGACAATCCTGGCAAATGCACCTCACAGGAAGTGAGTTTTTTGTACCAAAGAGCCATTTCCATATCTGATCATGTGGTGGGTCTCAAGCTCATGGTCTCAGATCTCTTCCAGTGGCTGTTGTAGCTGTGCAGTAAARCTGCTGCCAGGTGAGATGGTAGCAGGAGGTGGGATAAAGTGGGTTTGCCTTGCTGAACATGAAGATCTGATTAATGCAGGAGCTGGAACAGCCAGATGTTTCACCAGGTTCAGAGGATTGTTTGAAGAGGTGAGATGTGGAACCAGCACGTTCTTTCTCTCATCAAAGAGCTTTGCATGTATCTCCAGAGATAAGGGAGCAATTTCAAGCATTTACACGCGATAATCTTGTCCGACCAATTAAACCATCCCCCAGATTTTGTGTCCTCCATTGAAATGAGAATGTTTGTGCAATGGTGCCAGTAGGAGGAGAAATTAGAAATTGGAAATGCACAGAAACATATATGACAATGAAAAAATGAGGGACAGTCAGAATGGGGCTGTGTCCAGGAGAAAAAGGTGCTTCCTAGATCAGATCCATTCCTTATCCTCCAAACACCCGTGCCATCAAAGCAGCATTACAACCTGACTGGCAGGGCTCTGCTTCTATGTGGCCCCCTTTCAAAAACCCTCCACAGAAAAAACCAGAGTTCCCAGGCCATCAAGTGCATTTTATTCTGGCAAAAAGGACAGGGCTGTTCATCCTGGTTCCCAGCACATTCCTCCTGCCACTTCKCCTTAAAAGGCATCACCCACCTGGCCTGATTGTGAACATGAACTCAGCAGCCTCACACTCACCCTTGCGTAGCAACTGCTGGATAGTGACAGATTTTCAGGGAATTGGTGGTTATCTGATACATAGTTGAGCAGCCACGTTCAAGGCTATAATTGATCCTTGCTCTCTTTTCTTCGCCACAAGCCCACCTGCTAACTGCAGCTCTTTCCATCAGGTTGTCCTCTAAAAAAACCAAGGATTAATCTTGTGGCGAAGCTCAAATTACACAGGAGTTATTTGGCAGAATWATATCTGTGCACTGAGCTAAAGAACCAACCTGGGAGTAAAAAAAAATCTGAAAGGGCTGTTCTCTTAATGTTTAAAACCTAGAGAGATGGTGTAACAGGCAACACAGAGGGCAGATTTGCATTTTTATTTTCATTTTGAAGGGGTTCTCTTGTGCTGTGACATGTGCTCCAGGCTAAGGCTGCTTTACCTTAAACTGCTCCCTTCGGGTGAATTCTAACAGCTAACAGCTCTCATGTTATTCCAGCTGTAGGCAAAATGTGTGGCACTGTGCTTTTTATTTGAAAAAGAAAGTCACACTGGTGCAAATAAATGAGACTGGAATCACTGATGCTGCAGATTATTTGCAGCTTGGGTAGTACATGAGGTTGAAAAAATACCTCATTTATGGGCAGGTCACTATGGAGGTTAAGACCTGAAATGGAGTCATTAGCCATGTTCTATAGCTATGTTTGGTAATGTTTCTTAAATTATTCTTTCTACAGAGATAAAATCACTGYTTTCTTTTTCTCCCTTTTCTGGTTTTATGATCACAGAATACATTAACATATATTCATTTTTTTTGCACTTTTATAGTTKCCTTCACATGTTTAGGAACACCAATGAATTTAGCACAGAGGCACTTGGACACAGACAACGATTCACCAGCTTGGAGGTGAGAAAAAAGACCTGAGGGTAAATAGTAGGGAAGGAGAAAGTGGCTGGAGGCAGCTGAGAATGCCAAGGAGAATCCAACATGGATGGATCTGCTGGCCACCAGCACCAGAAAAATTGCCTGGGGAAGAAAAGATCATGAAAATGTGGTCTGAGAATTGTAATCTCTGTTTGATGACCAGTTCTGCCAAACTCTGATGTCAGRGCAGCACAATGAGGGGAAAAATCCCCTCTGCCCATGCTGCCCCTTCGTGCCTTTGTGTCCCCATGTGCAGAATCTCTCTTTTCACAGGTCTCTCTGAGCATCTCAGGGAATTGTCGCAAGGGGAACAAGTCTGCAATAACGGGAATTCATCTACATCACAAGGACAGTGCTTTTAGAAAAAGAAAGTTCTTCTTCCTGACAGCCTTACCCACAAATTCACTGACAAAAGAGCTGTTTGTTGGACAGGAGGTTGCAAACATCAGAGCCTGACCTCAGCCATRATTACATGGGACACTGCTGCCATTGATATCACCTCAGTTCACAGCAATTGGGAGGGAAATTAAACCTCTGTTTGCACAAGGGGCTGTGCATTCATATGCCCCTATAAGCCAGGGATGTATCRATTTTCCAGCTGGGGTAATTTCCAGTTTAATGAATTACTACTAAAATGAGAGGAAAGGTTTCTCCTACTCACTGCAATTTCACACCAACAYTGGGGATCAGCTGGCCAGGCAGAATCTGTGACATGCTGGGAAACAGAGYAATTCTCCAGTTTTACAGGGCAGTTCTCCAAATTGTTAATATTATTCAGGTCAGATCTTCTCAGGACAAAGCAGAAAGGTGCGTACCCCAGATTGAGCACCTTATCAAACCATCCCCCTGCAATGGCACATGGAAAGAGCTGTGCACAAAGGGAAGGGGCAGAGTGACTGAACAGACTTCAGGCAGCAAAGCGTCCCCATGGCATCAAAATCCACGTGGTATTAGTAGCATTTATTCCTTAGCCATCAGTTGTGAATTGTTTGGAGTTTTATTTAATGTCCCCTTGTTCTCCTCTTCCCCCAACCCCAAGTTTACAAAGTAATTTATGCATGCGTGGAGAGATTGACATTTAATAGGATTTTTGAAAAATGGAATTAAAAATTTCAGGAAAGGAAAATCAGCTGGAAAATCACATTTGATCTTTTCATTGAGACAAATAGGGAGAAATTAAGAGATGTCAAGTGATGATGTGGGGTTGACAGGGAAGTGGAGATAGAGGCACTTAAATATCACACGAAGTTCTACAGATTTATTTTACTGTGGAAAAAAAACCCCACAAAATACTGGATTTTTTTCCAAGTTTTAGATAATTTTTGGGTAAATTTAATACCTGGTTTGGCTTTACTATTTTTTTTCTTTTGTAGAAAATGCACCAGAATTATAGATAAAATATGTTTCTGATCCATGTGTTGAGCTCCCCTGCTGTCGTTGCAACATCTGTCCCATCACAGAGCACATCTGCTCCCCAGTCAGTGACAAATCTGCTCATAGCTGCTGGAAGATTGTTCATGCTTACAACATTCTCTCACCGTTCATAAAGTATTCAACTGCATGCTGAGGAGGTTTAGAGAAATAATACCTATGATTTTACTAACTCTGGTTTGTACTTCTTTGCTTAAAATGCCCTTTTTGCCCTAAATTTAGAACAGATGTGAAAAGTTACGGATTTTTCTAAATATGACTTTTCTTTAAAAAAAAAAAAAAGAAATCCTTTCCTGGCAAGTGGAGAAATTCGGTTTTCTGCTTTTTTCCCTTTCAAATTGTATCACGTCTTTGTTTTATTCTTCCTTTTGTCCTTGTAAGCCCAGTGTCATGCAGTTATTGGAAAGTCACAGATGACAGGGGTTGTCACCCTCTTTCTCTGCCTCAGATTTAGATGTCTGGTGAAAGCTAAGCTCAGCCTTTTGCCCCTTCCTAGAGAGCAGGGGATAAGCTGCCAGCTGGGTGCCTCTCTGTCCACTGTAAATCGAGCCCWGAAGATCAGCCCCAGTGAGTACCTGACCCTCAAATGGCTGAAATTGCATCAGATGATTTGCACTCAGAGTGGCTGGAAGAGAAATGAGGCACAGGCAAACAGATGATTGCAAGAAAGCTGAAAAGAAAATGCAGATTATCATAAAATCTAYGTGACATTGAGTGACAAGTGAGGAACAAAGGGACTTGGAATGAAGAGTAAAAGGGGAAAGATAAAGAAGAGARCTGCAATTTTAAGCATTTTAATAGATCAATATCAATAGCTTAAATTATTGATCTTTTTAGTAAAAAATTCATGATTTCTCATAGGTCTACCTTGATCATTTTAAGACTTGTTTCTAGTTTTTCTCAATCTATGATGTATGTTGCAAAATAAATGAAACCCCTGCATCTCCCAAAATAGATTCTGGCATCACCAACAGCTTCCTCTGTCTTTCTCTGCTTCTCCTTTCCAACTTCAGCTGTTGTCATCTGCCTTCTCACACTCTCTGTGCTGCTTTCCCTGATTCCAGATGGCCAGAGAGAGGACAGTCAGCCAGCACAGTGCAGGCACTACAGGGCAGCCCYAGGAGTCTGTAGGAGACACAATCCATTTTTCCCTTTTGGGATCATCTTGTTTCATGTTTCCTGACTCTGCAGGACATGGTGTAGCTGATATGCTGGCCTTTATACAAATGATGATATGGATAAACCTGTCCAGCCGCTCATTCCTGCWGTGTGGAGTGTGGCCCCATGTGCTGCCACCTTCCCAGAGCTCCTCTCAAGGGCTCACAATGCACAACCCCCATTTTAACCATTCAGACTGGTGGCAGGGTGGCCTCAGTGCTACTTTCAGCCTGAATAACAGGTAAAATATATTTGTGTTGGAGGGTCATGCCATGGGGTSCAACAGAGGTGTGGTCCCAAATGCTATGGACATGGACACAGTCAATTTGTGTCTTTTGGTACCAGTGCCTCATCACTCTCACAGCCAAGAATTTCYTCCTAATGCCTAATCWAAACCTGCCCTCTGTSAGTTTGAAGCCATTATCCCTTGTCCTTTCACAACACGCTCTTGTAAAAAGTCCCTCTTCACCCTCTTGAAGCCCCCTTTAGGCTCTGGAGGGCTGCTGTCATTGTAATCACTACTTCAGCAGTTTCCATTTTTGTTTTTTTCTAAGGTTGTAGTAGATTTTCAGGAGGCAGCATCATTTGAAGGGGTCACTGGATGAAAGGTTCAACTTTCATTGTAGGTGTATGTTCAAGTTTGGAACACGGTGTACAAAGCACTCTTCAAGTCTTGTAGAGGAAATGTGAGCAAGAGGGACATAATTTCAGGTTGTGCCAACTAAAAAAAAAATTCCTATCAGCATTCTGACTTGCCCTCCTGCATAATACTATGAATTTGGAAGCTGAAAGRAAAATAGGGAACTTTGGAAGTCACTAGTAGCTGTTACGGGAAGTGGTATAGCTGTAGTCAAATAAATGTGTCCCACTTTCAACATCTAATATATTTTGTCATTTTTCTGGAAGAGGTGAGAGAATATAATGGAAATTAGGTTTCATTTTCCATTGTTCATTTCTAGCAGTTCTAGTAATATSTGCAGAAAACCTGCTAATCCCAGCTACACACCCACAGGGAGACTCATATTAGAAGCACATCTAAAAATGTTTCAAGCCAACCCACAGGTTATATTAGAATTATGATACCTCCTACAGATGCTAAGATTGGGCACATTGGGGTAGCCCTTGAATAAGCAGATGCTGAAAAAAAGTGCTTGTGCCACACCACTGACAGCCCCAGTGCCCAGGAGAGTGTAAAGGTGGGCAAGAATTAAGAAGCAGTGTCCAAACCGGAGTCAAACTCCTTAGAGTTGAAAATAAAATCCATTYCTAAATGCGCTTTTCCTCTGGCATGCTGGGCCAAGTTGCCTACTCTCTTACATTCATAAATGTTTTACGTCAGTCTGCCATAAAGTGCTTTATCCGTATCTTCTTCCCTTTGAAATGGATATAAACCCAAATTCCAGTGGATCCCTGCAAAGGATCTTTGGCCATTTCTGCAGGCTTTGTAACTTCTGATGTCCCTTTGAGATCAGCCATGACCGATTTGATTTGGTGCTAACACTCAGCGTTGCCATGACTCTTCCTTTTGCAAACCCTTTTCTTCTTTTCCCAAAGTCAAATATGGAAAAGCTGTGACAGCAGCATGAGCAAAAGGATATTGGAAATAATCCTCTTCATTCAGCCTGCATGCAAGATTTAGTGGTGTAGCAGCATTGCAAGGATGATTTCCACGCATCTGATAACACTATGACACCCTATAATAAAACATATACCTTCTGTTTCATTTTATCCATTTAAGCCCTTTGAGCAACCAGCAGTTGTTGAGTTCCCCACTCCTGCTATTAATAGTCRGGGCAGACCACTCTGCCTACTTAGATTTATTACATTTTAACTAATCTTGATTGAAGTCTTTGTATGTAAGGGCTCCGGGGCAGTCACTCACCAGGGTTACACACAACAGACACACGCACAGTTTGCCCTGAAATTAGCTCATTATATGTCACATAATAACCATTTAATGTGAAAAAAMCAGGTTTTGGTTACCCCTTTTCCTTATGGAACCTGGACAGCTAAACACAAGGATCACTTCTTTCACCATGATGGATGTATTCTGGACTTTTACCCGTGTGAAAATCCCTGTGAAGTCTGGGGGAGATTTCCCTGAGCAGGGACACTTGTGCAGCTCCCTAAGTTTTGCCTATACCRGCTAGCCACCATTCAAAAGGCATCACACACAGGAAAGTAGAAAAATTCCTCCCCAGTGCTCCATATTTTTTTGCTGAGTATTTTCTATGATGGATTTTACRTTGCAGGATTTGTTAGTGACATGTGAAAACCTGCTCAGGGGAAAATTTGTGGTGCAGTTTCTCTGCTGCAGGATGAGATCTAACAAGCCCCATGTACATATTGCACAGGGACGGTGGAAAGGATGATCCTTTCCCCATGGCAAAGGGGATTTGGAGTCTGCCATATTCCTCTGTTCCTCCTTCCTTCCTCAGGACAGCACGAGTAAGCTGGGTGCCTRGCTGAGAAAGGACTTCTGAAGACACTCTGAACACTTTGCTTTAAATGCAACCCTGAAGCTCATGTAGACAAAATATTTTGTTGAATTTTCATGTTTCAGTTTCTAATACTCCAATAAAAAGTCATTCATGCTCACCTTCTAAGTGATAAATCAATGTTAAATGTTTCTCTGAGAAGCATCCGAAACCCGAGAATAGGAATAGAATAGAATAGAATAGAATAGAATAGAATAGAATAGAATAGAATAGAATAGAATAGAATAGAATAGAATAGAATAGAATAGAATAGAACTTCCCATTCTAGGCAGAAACATCACCATTGTTAGATTCAACCCACCAAAAGTGTTTCCAGGAACTGAATTTGCCAGAGAATGAGCCCCACACCAGCAAGGCACCCTGACTGCCCACAGCCCTCTCTGGGTGAGCTAGGCAAACTTGGGAGCCCCTGCTCCAGAAAAGGCTGCCATCCTTTAAAAATCCTCAAGATACAGCTTATTTTGCCTGAAGCTGATTTTCTCTGGGTGCCTGCTGCAAGTGGTGCTGGGGGCAGGCATAAATACAGTGGCATCAAGGCTGGGTTGGCAAAAAATCCTATTGCAAGAATAGGATAAATCTCTTAGGTTTTTAAAGATTGGCTTCAAAGTGCCTGCAGCTGGTGATCTGCAGCTTGGGAAGGGCAGAGGGTTTGTGCCAGCTGAGAACATGCAGGAGTTTGGGTAAGATGCAATGGGTGTGGGTGGAGAAACTGCACAGTGGAGGGAGGAAACAGCAGCGGTGCTGGGTGCAGTCAGCTCCTGGGAAAAGCACTGTGCAGGAGCTCTGATGGGTTCAGAACATGTGGAGTTTCCTGACCACAAAAAAACCTCCTCCACCACTGGCACACAGCAGGTCCAAGGTGTCCAGGGCTCATTCAATGCATTCACCATGTGCTGCATGCACAGCTTGAGGGTGACCAAGGCCAGACTGTGGGATTTTACAGCTTGAGGGTGACCAAGGCCAGATTGAGGGATTTGGGGATGCTGCCAGCACTCTGCAGGACAGTGTGAAAGAGTGCACATGAACTGCAGACACCTTCTCATGTATTCCAGGAAACTRTGAAGAAACCTGGCTATTGCCAAAACTCTGCATTTTGGGGAGGGGCAGCAAGAGACTGATAGCAAACTGTTTTCTTGACAGTTCWGCAAAAAATCCCAGGGGGAATGATAACCAGGGAGGGGCTTGTTCTGCCTGAGTTTTGGCAATGGGCTATGGCTCAAACAGGGACTTTCAACCTATTAAACCATCATACTGTGTGGGCCCAGAGCAGAGGTGACAATTCGTTTCCTCTTACATCCTTCCTGCAGCACTTTGTGGTTTCTGGCATTCCACTGGAAATTTTAGGTGTTGAGGATGGCCCTGATCCTGTGTTGTATGGTGGGGACATGCAGAAGCAGCACTGGAGAGATGAGTGATGCTCACAGGGTTGAGGGTCTGGATTGGATGGCCCCAAAGGTTTTTCCATCCTGCTTTGGATGGTGTCTTCTGCTTTGACCCACAAGCTGAAGGATGAACATTTGTGCTGCTCTGATGTAGGAAATAGGTAGAAAATTCACCCTTTTACTGATCTTTCTGTCCCCTGCTGTGCAAAGTGCCTCTGACTGCCTGGGCAGAGAAGGA